GGAGGAATTTCCCCCAGAGAAAAAAATTTTTTTTTTTTTGCTTTTTGGGTCACACCCGGCTTTGCACAGGGGTTACTCCTGGCTCATGCACTCAGGAATTACTCCTGGCGGTGCTCGGGGGACCATATGGGACGCTGGGAATCGAACCCGGGTCGGCCGCGTGGAAGACAAACGCCCTACCCGCTGTGCTATCGCTCCAGCCCCCCAGAGAAAGCCTTTTACAAAAATGGTTATAAACTAATAAACCAACAGCCTCGAACTGGTAAAAGTCCCATCTGGATAGATCAAAATAGTTAGGCCCCCGACTAAAGAATGTTTTCCTTCTTTTTTGGGGGGGAGGGGTCACACCCGGTGATGCACTGGGGTTTACTCCTGGCTCTGCACTCGGGAATTACTCCTGGCGGTGCTCAGGGGACCATTTGGGATGTTGGGGATCGAACCCAGGTCAGGTCAGCCGCGTGGAAGGCAAATGCTCTACCCACTGTACTATAACGCCAGCCCCCAGGAGTCCTTCTCCTTCTGATGATTACTGGTTCTAAGCAAAAATACTGGAGGTGGAGGACAGTCGGGGCTCTCAGCTCATGGGCCACACCCGCCGCCCCCTCTTTTCTCTCTTATTTCTGTCTCTTAATCCCCGCCCTGTTTCAGGCCCTTTCACCGAGGGGCTGGTCCGCATCAGAAATCCTCAGCAACACGCAGGACGTGACTCTGGTGCTGATGTACAGCTCCCAGTCCTGCTCAGCAGCCTGCACTTCACAGCAGCTGCGGTCAATCCAGCTGAGCATAAAAGCAGTCTCAGAAACTCTACCACAGGAGAGCGTGTCCTAAAACAAACCCAACGGAGGGAAAACAAAGCAGTTACAACTGGTCTTGCAAGGGGCTGGAGAAATAGGAGAGTGGGCAGGGTGCTTGCCTCATAGGTGGTTGACCCAGGGTAGATGCCTGGCACCCCAGATGGACCCCAGGGCCTGCTAGGAGTCAGCCCTGAGCACTGGGTGTGACCAGCACCCCCCAAAAAAAAATTTTGGTCATGGTCGTCACCAAAATAAATAACGTGGTTGCCCGAGAGGCAGGAATGCCAGGGGCAGAAGAGTAGGGCATTGTTGTTTTTCTTCATAAACCTTTTGAAACAATCCAATTCTCCTTAAAACTCATGTGCCCAGGCCAGAGAGATAATAGGGACGATGAGGTGTGTCCAGGACATCCCTTATGGTCCCCCAGCACCTCTGAGATTTCTGAGTGTGGAGCCAGGCACACTACTCCTGAGCACTGTAGAATGTGGCACAAAAACCCAAATCAAAAATAAGAGAATATGTGCCTTTGGGGCAATAGTACGACACCCCCCCCACCCCAATAGTGGGGAGGGAATTTGCATGGGGTCAACCCTGAACCCACCAGGGCCAGGAGGGTAAAACCTGAGCACTGCCAGGTGCCTTCAAAACTGGAAAACAAAGCAAACAAACAAAACAAACCGTGTGCCTTTGTACCTGGCTGCCCTGGGTTTGCTTCTTAACACTCCACGCTGCCCAAAACCTTTTGTCTAAAAACCAAAACCCTCCAAGGAAACAAAAAAGAGAGAAAACCAACACCAAAACCACACACACACACACACACACACACACACACACACACACTCCATATGTTGCTTGCAAACTTTCAAAAAAACACTTATGATTTTTTTTTACATGATCAGTAATTACAATGCAACGTAAGGAACGTGGGGCAGCTTTAAATGCGCTAAGAACCGGTAGGTGATCCACGTAGTTCTTTCCTTAAAGGAACAGCAGCTGAAAAACGGAAACGGTGAGCCCAGCGCCAGGCAACCCGCTACCTGGCGGGAGACGCAGCAGCGCACCCACCTGCGCGCGCATCTCGCGGGATCCCGGGGGCGGGGCGGCGCCGTGCGCGTGCGCAGATCCGCGCGGCCACGCCCTTCCCGGAAGTGCCTGAGGTCCCGCGTGTCCTCTGTGCCGGCAGGCTGGAGGCGCAGCATCCCGGCTGTCCGTTCCCGCCGCCTCCGGTCTCCGCTCGCTGTTTGCTGCGAGTGGACCCTTTCCTGCCCCGCCGGGACTGGCGTGGTGGACGAGCCGAGTGGAGGTTGCAGAGCCTCACTGGGACCCTTAACAGAGGCGTGCGCCTTGCAATGCGCCGGGGAGTCAGATGTTGGGGTCCCAAGTTGCAAGCCTGCTTGCAAGGTGCCTGGCTCGCTCAGCTTTCCGTTAGGATGTTCTCGCAAGCCTTCTTCTCTCTTAGGGCCTTTCCTGCCGTGCGGGCCCTGCAAGCGCGCCCCTCTCACCAGATGACTGAGCTTGGGAATGAATAGCACCCTACCAAAACGTGTGTGTGCACTGCTTGCACCGAGGGATGGAGCTCAAGGGAGAGCGCTCAGAGACCCTGAGACCCAGGGTGAGGAGACCTTCTGCACCCCGTGTCGCCCGCCCCGCTTCTCCCGCAGCGTGAACTCAAGTGCGCGGCGAGGAGTGCGCCCCTCCACCACCCCGGACCCCTGCAAAAAAAGAGAAAAAGAAGCTTACTCCTTACTCCACCCCTTTCTGTTTGGAGATGGGCTGGGGGAGCCCAAGGGTACTGGCAAACAAAGCAGGTGCTCCAGCCCTTTGCACCATCTCCAGACCCCAGATCGGTTTTTTACACTACCCCCCCCCCCCCCGCCCCAACACACACACCTACTGGCATGGAATTTATGCTCTTCTTCAATTTTTTTTTTATCGCAACCGCCATGGTTCTTTCAATATGCCTATTTATTTAAAATCGTGATACTAACTTGATTAAATCCACTGATTTAACCTCCATCTTTGCTAATTTTGCTCATTATTTTAGTTCTCTGATTTCCTTTTTTCAAACTTTGGGGCTTTTTTGGGGAGAGGGTGTCACAACCAGCGGTGCACAATGGTGCATGGGTGCACTTGAGGCTGTGCTCAGTGATCACTCCTGGTGGGGCTTGGGTGGGGGGGGCCATAAGGGATGTCAGGACTCACACTCGGATCAGAAGTGTGTAAAGCAAGCTTGCTACTTACTATGCTACTGTTCCAGGCCTGTTTTATTTTTTCGATCAAATCGAATTGCTATTCGATTAGTGATTCTGATTTATAAGCTTTACTCACTCATATTCTAGCATTTGTGTTTTCTCTTCGTCCCTGAATGTCTTTATTAATCTACTATCTTGGACCTATTTCAGAAGATCCACCAGGAATGGAATTTTTAAGAAATTTAAAAATGTTTTGTTTTGTGGGGGACACCCTGCCAAGGGGCTGGACCTGTATACATTGAACCTGGAGGGGAGGGGAGGGAGGGTCATTTGGTGCCAGGATTGAACCTTGCACTCTACTGCTTGTCTTATATCTGCACCCCAATGGCTTTGTAATCTTCCTAAGATTTAGATTAAAGTTTTCAAATATAAAGGATTATGCATTGGAAACTGGGATGGGGGGGGCACAGGGCCAGGTGACCAATGAATGCTCAGGGCCACCCAGCAATGAATGCCCAGGCCTGAGGGTCAGTGGGATACAAGGCAGGCTCAGTCACCCCGGTACTCTCTCTCTGGTTGCTGTATTTGGAAACTTATACTCAGTGTTTCCTTTGGTATAATTTTGTGGGTGCCCATGAATCACCGGTTCACCATATTAGGAATTACAGGGGTTAGCTCCAGATTTCTACGTGCCGCCCACCGCAGAGTTCCATTGCCATCCCCAAAGAGCTCTCTGTCCACCCCCCAGCCCTGCCTTCACTTTCCCTGCTCTGTCTTTTTCACTCGAGTCATAGCCCATCGAGTGTCTGTTCGGAAGCGTTCCTGCTGCTGGTCATCTGCTCGTTTGGTATTTGTTGTTGTTTTCGGCCACTCTTGGCAGCACAGAGGGCTTACTCCTGGCTCTGCACTCAGGGAATCACTCCCGAGGGTGCTCGGGGCCATACGGAATGCCAGGGATTAAACCTGGGTTGCCCGTGTGCAAGGTAAGTGCCTTAACCCCTGTGCTTCTCCCCGGCCCCTCTTGTTGGCTCTTTATTTGCCTTTTGACTGTCGTGAATAACGCTGTGAACTTTGGGGGTGATTCTCCTTTTCCCCGTCAGCAATTTCATGGCACTGAGACAGATGCTGAGGGGTGGGCGTTTCAAGTCTCTCCCTCCCTCTACAGCCCGTGCTACTCTGCAGGGCCCCCAGATTTCTCCTTCCTGCCTGGGCCCCTCCCTGCACAGGTCCACTCGCTGGAATCTCTCTCCGCTTTCTCAGTGCTCCACCTTCCCTCCCGGGACCGTGGCTGAGATCACAGAGGCAGAAGGGACTTCAGCAGGCGTCATTCCAACACACCCAGGGACCAAAGCGGGCGCCGAGCCTGGTGGCCTGTGTGCCGCTGCTTGCATCCAGCCCAGGTCACCCAGGGGATCAGGGCTTCTGCAGAGACCTGCAGAGCCCACCTGCATTTCGGGGACGCCCCTGAGACTAGCCGGGCAGCTCCCTGAAGCCATGGGGTCATGCCGGCTGCTGGTGGGGGGTGGGGTGGGGGTTAGGGGGACAACCAGGAGCCAAACTGGCTTTCTCAGCTCCCAGACCCCCCATGTCTGTGGCGGCTCTGGGATCCAAACACTGCTGTGAGAAACTCCAGCTCACGGTTTGGGGTTTATTCACTCCAGCATTCCTCCCACCTTCATCCTCTCCACCCTTCCCCCTTCCATGGCCACAGCCGCAGAAGCATCCTAAAACGGTATCTGCCGAAGGCTGCGATGCTGCCTTCCTTCAGCCTGCTTGCAGTTACCCGCAGAACAGCCCGTCTCCCTCACCTGAAAATCCTGACCCCCGGCACACACCAGGCTGGAGTAAACCCTGCCATGAATTTGGCGATACCAGGGCGCTCATAAGGGTTCCTGAGGACCAAGCAATTGTGCCGGCAGTTTCCAGCGGGAACTCGGGTGGGCCACTGGAGAATTGGTGCTGCCCCCGAGAAGCAGAGTCCAGATCCTGGACCCCCAGCACGGGGCCCCCTCGCTCTTGGCATCTGCCAGGCGGAGCCAGGACTTGGACACACGGCTCTCTTGAGATCCGCACTCACGAGGTCTCAGTGAGAGGAACATCTTCCGACTCCCGAGTCAGGCCAAAGCTAAAGGGAAGAGGCTTCAGGGTGCTTCCGGTGGGAGCTTCAAGGTCACATTGGGAGTGTGAACTTCTGTGCTTCAAAACAAACTCTGGGCACACCCAGGCCTGTTCACGGGGCTCAGGTCTCAGCGTCCTCCTGAGCCAGGATGCAGAGCAGCCGCGCCCAGTGGCCAGGTGCCAGCCTCTGCTCCAAAGCCTTGATGGTCCCTGCGGGACAGGCCTGGGGCTCCGAGCCGAGGTCTCACTCATCAGAGGTCAAGTCCACCGGCCTCCGCGAGCCCCCGAGCACCTGGACTCCGAGCATCTCCATGTCGCCACCTCTGCCCCTCCTCAGGTTGGTGTCTTCAGGGTCCCACTGCGGAGGAAAGACACAGACGGTAGCTGGGTGCAGGCCAGCCTGGTCCCTCCTTCTCCCCCACGTGGCGCCCGCCCGGGCTCCCCCGAGAAGCAGGCCACCGGCCTACCCAGAGCCCGCAGGGCGAGGGGAATGTTGGACCTGGGAATTCATGGACAGCCCCCTGGAGCCCAGAAACCCCCACTTCCCTTGTCACCCCCTTTCCCGGCTCTCTAAGCCTTTCCTGGGGCTCAGCCTTCTTCCTTTGATTCTGGGCATTTCCACTTGCTTTCCTCCGGGAAGCCTGCCCTGACTGCCCGTGAGCCTTGAGTGCTTGCACCTGTCCCTGTCTGTGCTCCCTGGCCCAGTTGCTTTTTTGTCGCCGCCAGGCAGGACTGTCTCCACCTTTCCCCGCTCACCTGCCCTGGCACCCAACGTGCTGTGTCTTTAAGCCTGCCAGCCAGTGCCCTACCCCCCAAGTTGCACCCAGAGGCTGCTCCCCCTTCCTCCTTTGGATGGTCCCAGTGCCCTGGGGCGGGGGGGGGGGTGAGTATCGCCTACTTTGGGAAACTTTTAACTGGATTCAGCAGATACTGCAGAAATAAAAACTCAGGGGCAGGAGATGCAGCTCAGAGCATTTGCCTTGCATGCGTGAGGCCCTGGGTTCGACCTGACCCCTATCTCCACCCCCTCCCCCACCACACACACACTCAGGGTGGAAGTCACCGCCAGCGAATATTTCATCTTTGACTCAGACAAGTACGGAATTTGCTAGGTGTGGGAGGGAAAGGCTAACGTAGTAATGTGCGCATATATTAGCGTGCGTGGGAAGCACTTGGCAGAGACCCTGGCATCGCTCACAGGCCAGGAGCACAGGGCTCCTTAGCGATGCCTGCCACACGCCCGGCTGAGGGCTGAACTCAAGCCCTTCTGCCTCAGTTTCTCCATTTGTAAGTGTGGGTTGGTTCCACCAGCAGACATCACGATCTCCCTTGGTGTTGAGGCCGGTGACTGTGAATTACAAGGTCACGCCAGAGCCAGATGATTGACACGGGCCAAAAAGGAGAGCAGAGCCGGGCATGGGCACAGGCACCAAGGGACCCCTGGGCGGTCCTGGCTCGGGGCTACGGGACTCCCCTGGCACAGAGCGACGCTGCTAGCCCCTTCCGGCCCTGAAACCCAAGAACAGGGTGCAGAAGGCCTGAGAGACAGTCACCAAGTCGTCCTCCAGCTGACGGGGGAGGGCAGCCGGCTCCAGGCCGGCCCAGGCTCCCCCTCGGGTGCATCTCAGCCTCGCCATCGCCATCACTTCCTGCTCCTTCACCGGGGCTGCAGTTCGGGTGGAGGCACCTCTCACCAACTTCCTTCCTGACTTCTCCTGGTTCGCCAGCCCTCAGGCCTGCACCCCGCGGGATGGAAGCGTGGGCAGGTGGGCCTAGGCCGAGACCCCGCCGCTCGCCCATACCCAGGCCCACGCCCAGGCTGGGCCCTGCAGCCTGGCACTTCCCCAAGGGCTCCAGGCAGTTATAGCCTTTGGCAGCTTCCCAATCTACTGCAGGGGTCCTCGCTGCCTCAGTCACTGCAGGAAGTAGCTGCCACCTGGGCCAGGTGCATCCCCGGGACGGACTGGAGCCTTCCCCTGCGTTTAAAGCACCTTCACTGTCTTCTGAATTGCCACCAGGTCTGTCTTTACAAACTTCTTTTGTTTATTTTTCTTTTGTGCCACACCCTCGCCCGCACGGCAAAGCCTGGCAAGCTACCCGTGACGTACTCGATATGCCAAACACAGTAACAACAAGTCTCACAATGGAGACATTACTGGGCCCGCTCGAGCAAATTGATGAACAACGGGAAGACAGTGCAGTGCAGTGCCACACCCAGTGTGCTAGGGCGGGGTTACTCCTGGCTCTGCACTCAGGAAATCCTCCTGGCCGTGCTCAGGGATGCTGGGGATTAAACTCAGTTCAGCCACATGCAAGGCAAGTGCCTTACTAGCTGTATTACCACTCTGACCCCTTAAATGCCTGGTGATCCTCAGGGGTTATTTGTGGCTCTGCATCAGGAAGCACCGGGGACCATATGGGATGTCGAGGATCAAACCTGGGTCAGCTGCTTGCAAAGCAAATAAATGTTCTTCCTGCTGTATCATCTTTCCTCAAACTTCATTTTTAAGAAGAAAAACATGGTAAGGAGTCTAGGCCTAAAGGGAATTTGACTAAAAAATGATCTACTCTTTTTTTTGGGGGGGGGGGGGGGGCATAAGGGCACACCCAGCAGTGCTCAGGGATCACTCCTGGCTCTGAGCTCAAGGCTCACTCCTGGTGGTGCTTGGGGGACTTAAGGGATGCCGGGATCGAACCCACGTTGGCCTTGTGCAAGGCAAGCACCTTCCCCGCTGTACTATCACTCTGGTCAATGCTCTCTTCTTTGAATCAACCAGTCCTGGGAGGTGCCAAACCCCCAGCGAGGGTGGGGGCCGTCCTAAAACACGCTCATCTCTCTCCTAGAGGGAGGGGGACAAGGAGACACCTGCCAGCGCGCCTGTCCCCTGCTCAGAGCCACAGTCTCACCCCCCGGGAAGCAGCTCTGTCTCCTCCCAGAGAGTTGGGGGCCAAGCAGAGGGAACTGTGAGCTAGGTGGCGCCAGTTCAACAACAGGCCAGCAACACCCTGAACTTCAACCTCCTCCTGGGTTTTGACACTCATTTTTCGTATTTATTTTTTTCCCTGAAGGAACTTGGCATAGGCCCAGCCGTGTTGGCTGGGTTGGGGGAGGGGGGTGGGAGGGGGCGTCCAACAAAAACAGGAAGTGAACTCAAGCCGTGCAAGTTGCTTCTGGGAAGAGGGAGAGAGCAGGAGAGTCCATACCTGCTCCGAGTTTAGGGCTTCCCAATACTTCTGCTGCGAATAAAAAAGAGAGAGAAAGAAGTGTTGGGAGAGATTTGGCCTCCACCACAGAGGGGAGAAAGGCAGAGGAGAGCTCAGCGCCGGCCCAGATGCTGGGAGAGCCGGTCCTTAGGCCCTTGGCTGGCCCCAGGGAGAAGGAACCGACGGCAGCGAGTGACAAGCCAACGTGAGCATCCCGTGACCAGCAGGGTTAACGGTGATCATTGGGATAGGCTGCCGCTCCCTGGATAAATGATAATCTGTACAGATTTTTTAAATTATTGCGAGTTATTATTCGTCACAAGGATAACGATTCCATTCATCAGCCACACGGCTGAGACGAGTCAGCTCCAGGCCATAAACTAAGAAATGAATGCAAGTCTACCCCACCTTGAAAACAGGCGGTGTTTGCTCCCAGCCAGCAAGCCTTTGGAATCCTCCAGGACTGCATGGTCGACTGCAGCCCAAGCCTCAGGTATGTCTGGAGAAGGTTCTGGAAGGGCAGCATGGAGGTCTGTCTGCCCTCCCTCCTCTAGCACCTGGAGAACTGCCGGTTTGGGGCTGGAGCGATAGCACAGTGGGTAGGGCGTTTGCCTTGCACGAGGCTGACCTGGGTTCGATTCCCAGCATCCCAGATGGTCCCCTGAGGACCGCCAGCAGTGATTCCTGAGTGCATGAGACAGGAGTAAGCCCTGTGCATCACCGGGTGCATCACCCAAAAAGCCAAAAAATAAATAAAATAAAATAGAAAAGAACTGCTGGCCAGAGTGCGTTGCTGGCACTCTGCCGAGATCTGCCAAACGACCTGCAAATATTTTTACCCCACCAGCTGCCAGTCTGAGTGTTTGACAGGATTTGGTACTCTTCGATTAAAACACAGTCTCTATTGATCAATTTTTGTTTAGTTTCGGGACTACATCTGGAGGTGCTCAGGGCTTACTTCTTGCTCTGCACTAAGGGGTTACTCCTGGTGGGTCTCACTCAGGAGTGATCTCTAGGGGCTTTGTGGGGTGCTGGGGATCAAACCCGGTCACCTGTGTGCAAAGCAAGCGCCCTACCCCTACCAGCTCAGGGCATTTTAAAACCATCCTAAGCACAACCTAATTATACCTTACAGAATTAGAGTCACTCCTTAGCATTCACCATTTTCTGACTTGCTGCTGAAATCAGTGAAATTGGGAAGACACAAAATGATCACAAATGGTGGTTTCACACATCGTCCCACAAGAGACAAATGTAGATGACAACCTCAGTTTGGAAAAAATTTCACAAACGTCATGGAAAGAGAGACTTTTGGGTTTGGTTTTGTTTGGGGGCCACACCCAGCGATACCCAGGGCTAACTCCTGGCTCTGCACTCAGGAATTACTTCTGGCGGTGCCCGGACTAGGTTGGCCACAAGCAAAGCAAAAGCCCTTTCCATTGTACTATCGCTCCAGCCCCCAAAGAGAGATTTTCTTTTTTTTGAATGCTAACCTTAACCTTCAGAAAATACAGAGGTTCATGCAAAATAGGAATAGTCATCCGCGGGAATGACGGTGTTGGCTGGAAAAACTGAGTGAGTGCAACATGAGATACTGGATTGCATCCTGGAACAATAAGAACATTCATGGAAAAGTGGCGAAATGCAAACAAAGCCTGCAATTTCGTTAACAGTAACACTCAAAGATTGCTTCCTCGGGAACTGGAGGGTAGCACAGCGGGTAGGGCGTTTGCTTTGCACGCGCTGGCCCGGGTTCGATTCTCAGCATCCCATATGGCCCCCTGAGCACTGCCTGGAGTAATTCCTGAGTGTAGAGCCAGGAGTAACCCCTGTGCATCGCTGGGTGTGACCCCCCCAAAAAAAAAGAAAGAAAAAAAAGAAAGAAAGAAAGAAAAAAGAAAGAGAGAAAGGAAGAAAGAAGGAAAGAAGAAAGAAAGAAAAAAGAAAGAAAGAAAGAAAGAAAGAAAGAAAGAAAGAAAGAAAGAAAGAAAGAAAGAAAGAAAGAAAGAAAGAAAGCCAAGATTGCTTCCTCGGTTCTGACAAATGGACATGTTCATATGAACATCAGGGAAATCGGAGCAAAGGAATACAGAACTCCATACAAACTTTGCAATTTTTCTGTAAATCTAAAATTATTTCAAAATATGAAAAGCTTATTTTAAGCTAATCAAACAAACCGTCCCCAACCCCTGCTTGGCTGAAATGAAACCGTGATAATTTCCTGCCTAACATTTAAGAGGAGCGCCCTCTAGTGGACAGTCGCCCGCATCGCTTAGGGGCGCCACTGGCCAACATCTCTGTAGCTGAGGTGTCGAGGGACTCTCCCTCATTTCAAAAGCCAAGAGTTTTATCCAATTAATTTGTTTTCGTGAGGTAAAATAGTTTGACCTAGAGAAATCTGAGGGGAGAAAGAGAGAAAGAGAATGCTCAAGAGAGAACGTGGGCTTCTACAGAGTGGGCCCCTAGATCAATGTGTTTGAACTGGGGATCTGAAGTGTTCTCAAAGGGGCTGGAGCGACAGTACTGCAAGCAGGGAGGATGCTTGCTTGGCACAGGGTCGAGTAGGGTTCTACCCCAGCACCATGCAGGGTCCCCGAGCCCCCAGGAGTGATCTCTGCACAGGAGAAAGCCCTGAGCACGGCCGCTGTGCCCCCACGGTGGCTCAGGGTGCCAGGCACCCTCCCTGGGGTGGCAGGGGAGGTTTCGGAAACGCACCACACCGAGACCCGGCTGTCCCCAGAATCTCCCAGACCACACAGCCCTGGGCAGGCTTTCCCGGGGAGGGGTGGGGGTTTCCAACTCCTGTGCAGGCGTGAGACTGTGTGGGAGACCCAGGGCATGCTGGGAGCTCCCAGGGTGCAGATGGGTTATTGAAGTGAATCCGTGGCAAGGAGGTGAGCTGAGCAGATGAGGAGGTGAGAAAGCGAAGGGGTGAGCAGGAAGACAGGAGGTGAGCAGGCAGAGGAAGAGGTGACAGTATCTTGAGCAGGTAGAGGTGAGCAGGTAGACAAGGAGGTGAGAAAGAGGACAATATGGTGAGCAGGCAGAGGACGAGGTGACCAGGTAGAGGAGGAAGTGAGTAGGCAGACGAGGAGGTGAGCAGATAGGTAGGATGAAGCGAGCACCCAGCCCCCCTTCCTCGTCCCCACCCCGCGACCCGCATTCCTTGCCTCCTGAGCCCCAGCTGCATGTACCTCGAGGTCAGAATTGATGGACGAGGCCTCAGAGCCGCTGCTGGAGGACACGTGGGCCCGGATGACCTGCACGGGCGGGTACGAGGGCGGCTCATGTGGGGACACTGGCCGGGGGCGGGTCTGTCCCTCGCTGGGCAGCTGGGTGGCGCCTCGGCCCACCTACATGCGGAGGGTGGGGAGCGTCAGGCTCTGAGCATCCCCAGGGCACCGCAGGGTGGAGAGAGGAACGTGTGTCCTCCCTGCCCTGCAGACTCTTGGGACATTGGTCACACCGGCGATGCACAAGGGTTCCTCCTGGCTCCGCACTCAGGAATTACTCCTGGAGGTGCTCAGGGGACCATATGGGATGCTGGGAATCAAACCCAGGTCGGCCGCGTGCAAGGCAAACGCCCTACCCGCTGTGCTATTGCTCGAGCCCCATTAACAGAGTCTTAGACATGGTCCCCCTCCACCCCCCAGCTCTGGGGCCACACCCGGCAGAGCTCAGGGCCGACTCCTGATGTGACTCAGGGGGCCCTGCAGGGTGCGAGGAATCGAGCCCGGGTCAGTCACATGCAAGGCAACTGTCCTGCCCCGGAGGTGACGTCCCTGGCAAGCTCTTAGCTCCCTGAATGCCCAGCCACCCTACTCTTGGCTGCAGGGGTATCTAGCAACACAGCATATGTGGGACAGGCTCTAGAAGCCCTGAGCTGGCCCGGGGTGCGCGGGGTGACTGCTGCCAACGTGCCGCTCCGAGGGCCTCAGGGGGAGTCCAACAGCTGGAACCCAGGACTCCGTCCCCAGCACCACATGGGCCCTGACACCACCATAGGCAATGCCCAGGTGCCAAGCACGGCCCCACCCCCAGGCCCCAAGCCCCAGACCCCAGCGCTCCAGAGACACCTGCAGGTGGGGGGGTGGGGGTCGCTTCAGAGGTTAAGAGGAAACTTCTCTCTCCCTGGAGAGCCTCCTCCCTCTGACAGCCTGGAGATTGTGGGGGTGGGGGGCAGGATCTGTGCCCGTCCACAGCCTCTGGGCCTGCATCTCCTACTGATTAACCCCGAGGCCTGGGGAGCTCTTGGTTCCCGAGTGGCGCTTGCCCAGCCATAGAAGCGGGTGGTGATCATGGGGGCTCTGGGGGTCTCAGGACACAGACCCATTTCTGGTGCTGCCCCCAACACCTTACTCGGTTTCCTGGGAGAGGTGATGGAGAGGCCTCAGAGGTCGGGAGGGCAGCGTTCTGGAAGCTTCCAGGGAGCAGTGGCTGTCCGGCAGAAAGCCAGGGAGAAGCAGGAGGGGTCCGGGCAGAGCCAAGGGTAGAGCCCTTCCCTTGAAGGCTGGAGGCTGACTCAGTCCCAGCTCTGCCCCGAAGCACCACCCGCTGCCATGTGAGCAATCACGGCTGGTGTGGGGGGGTGGGGGACTGGGGGGAGGCCGGGCCAGGAACAGAGCGGGGAGGAAGGCGACAGCACACAGGGCTGACCAAGGCCTCGTTCCCCCACTCACGAGCTGTCACCTCACCTCTCTGCGCCCCCCATTTCCCTCCCTCCGTCCCTCCTTTCCTCTCTTCCTTCCTCTCTTCCTTCCTCTCTTCCTTCCTCTCTTCCTTCCTCTCTTCCTTCCTCTCTTCCTTCCTTCCTTCCTTCCTTCCTTCCTTCCTTCCTTCCTTCCTTCCTTTCCTTCCTTCCCTTCCTTCCCTCTCTCCTTCCCTCCTCCCTTCCTTCCCACACCTGGCAGTGCTCAGGGAGCCCTGTGGTGGGGCGTGGATCCCCAGGCCTCCCGCCTTCAGCACGTGCTCCAGCCCACTCTCCACTCTCCACCGTCTCCTGACACATAGACCATCCAGGGGTGTCTGTGGGGTGGGAGCGAGGGAGTGTGTGAACCCCAGGGCGGGTCTCTGGCGGCACAGGGCCACGAAACCTGCTGCTCTCACTCAGACCAGACAATTCGCCAGCCCTTAGATAACTAGCCGGTCAGGTCAGCGAGCAGGTACGCGTGGAGAGCGGGGGGCCTAGCAGGAAGCCCAGGGTGGTCAGCGGGGCTCCAGGCTTCCCCCATAGCTGACGTGGACGACTGTCGCCCTCTGGTGGACAGAGAAGGAGGAAGCGGCCGAATGGAAGCTCACAAGTAAGAACTGGCTTAGTGGAGATGAGAGGGACTCACTGGGCGTCCCAAGTGCGTTCCCCAGCAGGGGTCCATTCCACCCAGGCGGCCGACACACCCAGCGATGCTCAGGGACTGCACCTGGCAACGTTCGGAAGACCAAAGGCGATGCCAGGATTGCTGCAGGTGCAGCTGTACCCACGGCAAGTGCCTTCACTTCTGCGTGGCCTCTCCAGCCCCTCCTGGTTCCACCCGAGAGACTCCTGGGTCTAAGTATGCCTAAGCCTGCTCGAGAGGCAGAACAAGGGGCCAGGCACACTGCCTCACTCCCAGCACTGCAGTGCAGAGGCCAGAGAGAGCACTGGGGGTGCTCACTGGCCCCACGTGTGGCTGAGATCCTGGTCCCGGAGCACCGCCAGGGATCACTCCTCAGCACAGAGCCAGGAATAGTACCCGGGCACCATGGGATATAGACCAAACTCCCCTCCCCCACTCCCAACCCTCCTTCCACTACACACAATTTTTTGGGGGGGTCACACCTGGCGATGCTCAGGGGTGACTCCTGGCTCTGCACTCAGGAGTGACTCCTGGCAGTGCTCAGGGGACCAGATGGGATGCCGGGGATGGAACCCAGGTTGGAAGCCCTCCCATCCCACTCGATACGGCCTGAGTCTACTCACCCTCTGCACTGGCTCCACGGTCAACTCCATGTAGTGGCTGACGGCCGCCATGGTCTGGAGCGACTGGCAGTGCGGTAATGTGGTGAGGGGCACCCAGTCCGGATTCTTCCAGGAGACAGGGAGGGAGAAAGGGGTGATGAACCAGGGTGTTCTTCGAGCAGGGCCCCACTTGCTTTACACGCCCCTTTCAAGGAGCTGGAGAGATAGGACCGCAGCTACGACACTGGCCTGCGTGCCACTGAGGGTCAATGCCTGGCACCCCAGACGGTCTCCTGAGCCTGCCAGCAGTGATCCCTGAGCACTCTCGCCCCCCAACACCCACAAAGGATTCTTCCAGGGGCCAGGGAGACACCACAAAGGCTCAGGTGCTGCCTCGCATGTGGATGGCCCCAGTTTGTTCTGGCTTCCGGAGAAGCCCCAGGACTGATCCCTGGGCTCAGGAGTAAACTCTGAGTAGAGCCGAGTGTGGCCCAGGGATTGAAAACAAAACCCCAAACTATGGGGCTGGAGTGATAGCACAGCAGGTAGGGTGTTTGCCTTGCACGCGGCAGACCCGGGTTCGATTCCCAGCATCCCATATGGTCCCCTGAGCACCGCCAGGAGTCATTCCTGAGTGCATGAGCCAGGAGGAACCCCTGTGCATCGCCAGGTGTGACCCAAAAAGCAAAAAAAAAAAAAAAAAAAAAAAAAAAAGAAAGAAAAGAAAAGAAAGAAAGAAAAAAAAGTTAAAAACCTTTAACTCTTTTATATTGTTATTATTATTTTGGAGGCGGGTGTTGGGCCACACCCAGATGTACTCTAGGCTTCCTCCTGACTTTGCGCGCTCGGCTGGCTCAGGGCTCACTCCGGCTCGGGGCTCACTCCAGGTGGGGATTAGGAGCCTAAATGGGACCAGGGATCGGACCCGGGTCAGCCACCGCCCGCTGTCCTGCCACTCTGGTCCCTGAGGGTTGCTGGCTCTCCCAGAGCCCCTCAATCCCCCCCCGCCCCCCGCTTTCTGTCAGATGTGCCTCATCCCATCTCTGGGGGCAGCACAGCGGAACAGCCAAGGGAGCAGCATTTCTCCTTATCTTTTTTTCTTTTCCTTCTTGTTTGCTGGGGAGAGAACCCAAGGCCCCAACATACGAGGCAAGTACTCAACTGCTCAGCCACACACCCGGCCCTCACCTGAGTAACTTTTGGGGGTTTGGGGGCACACATTCTGCAGATCTCAGGGCTGACTCCTGGCTCTGCACCCAGGGATCACTCCTGGTGGGGCTCTGGGGGTCAGACAGGGTGTCAGGGGATCAAACCAGGGTCAGCCATGTGCAAGGCAAGTGCCCCGCCCACTGTGCTATCACTCTGGCCCTGGTATTGCTGTTTTAAGATGATCGCTTGGGATGGGAGGTGTGTGCTGAAAGCAAATAAAGGACCAAACATGACGGCCTCTCAGTATCTGTTACGGCAAACCATAGTGCCCATAAGTAGAGAGAAAGAGGGAAATCGCCTGCCATAGAGGCAGGAGGAGGGGTGGGATGGGGGGGATACTGGGGACAATGGTGGTGGAAAATGTGCACTGGTGGAGGGATGGCTGTTTGATCACTGCATGACTGAAACTCAGACATGAAAGCTTTCTAAGTGTAGCTCATGGTGATATAATAATAATAATAATAATAATAATAATAATTGTTCAAACGATCGGTTTGAAGCTGTTCATGTTCCTAGAACGAACAGACGCCACTGGGCTACACTAACACGCTACAGGGACAAATGGAGACGTTACTGGCGCCCGCTCGAGCAAATTGACGATTAACGGGAAGTCAAGTGATCAAGTGATCAAGTGAATAATAATCATCATCACCATCATAATAATAATCACTGTCACTGTCCTCCTGTTGTTCACTGATTTGCTTGAGCGGGCCCAGTAACATTGTAAGACTTGTTACTGTGTTTGGCATATCAAATACATCACGGGTAGCTTGCCAGGCTTTGCCGTGCGGGTGAGATACTCTCGGTAGCTTGCCGGGCTCTCCAAGAGGGGCAGAGGAATCAAACCCGGGTCTGCTGCGTGCAAGGCAAATGCCCTACCTGCTGTGCTATCACTCCAGCCCAATAATAATAATAATGATAATGATGATAATAATAATAATAATAAAAGATGCTCAGGTGAGGACTGGAAACTCATTTTAAAACGTGAACAACTGGCCCGGGTCACCTTCTTTCCCAGGGGCACCTGGGAGCAGCTCCCACCACTGCCCACCCAGGGTGTGTGTGTGGGGGGTCTTGCCTCGCTCCTGGCCACAGGGGTCTCTCCCTCGTCGGTGAGAAGCGCTTGGGTGTCGGGGCTCTCGTGGCCTTCAGACACCCAGGCCCCACGCAGCCCACAGCGCACGCAGCAGGACAGGAGGATGATCTGAGTCGAGCCGTCAAGGTCCAAGCCCAGGGCTGCCCCTCCTGCCCCCCAACCCCCACCCAGCACCCTTGGGACCCCAGAACAGACAGGAGCTGCCTGCTAGCTGCCTGCCTGGCCCAGTTTGGGGTCAGCGGGAGTAAATATTGTAAATACTGTTGAAAACCGCCAGGAGCATCCGCACCATGCCCCCCCCCCCCATACACACACCTCAGAGATGACCTTATTCAGAAACAGGGCCTCTGGGGGCAGAAAGGAAGGAGGGAGGGAGGGAGGGAGGGAGGGAGGGAGGGAGGGAGGAAGGAAGGAAGAGAGGAAAGAAGAGAGGAAGGAAGAAGGAAGGAAGGAAGGAAGGAAGGAAGGAAGGAAGGGAAGGAGGGAGGGAGGAAGAAAGGAAGGAAGGAAGAGAAAAGAAGAGAGGAAGGAAGGAAGGAAGGAAGGAAGGAAGGAAGGAAGGAAGGAAGGGAGGGAGGGAGGGAGGGAGGGAGGAAAGGAGAGACAGAGGCAAGAGAGGAAGGAAGAGAGGAAGGAAAGTAGGAAGGAAGAAAGGAAGGAAGGAAGGGAGGCAGCAGATGGGAGGAAGAGCAGGAGCAGGACAGTGAGTGGATTTCGTCTTCAGGCCCAGGTCCCCGGGGGCAGTGTCCATCTAGGGAAGGCAGCAGAGCGGGGCAGGGGGAAACTGAGGCTCAGCCCCCCTTGCTGCGATCGTGGGGGGATACTGAGAGGTCCAGAGCGGCACGGCCCAGGGCGGCCAGGAGCCAGGGAGTGGCCCGGAGTAGGGGGTCAGGCCGCCGGTCGTGGGCCAGGATGGACGAGGCGTAGAGGAGGCTGGCCAGGGCGGACAGCAGGCAGGCCCACAGGCGGAGGGACAGCGGTGTCTCGCCCCGGCACTGCCAGAGAGAGAGGGGCTGTGGGGCGGGGTGGGCACCGGCCCTGCCGAGACACAGGCCCACGCCCGCCCCAGCTGCCGGTGCCAGCGGCTCACACACACACACGCACACACACACACACACACACACACAACACAGTCACTCATCATACACACACCTTCAGACCCACCCACTTTCCCACATACACACATACACCCACACACATCACACACACCCACACACCCACACTGATCCCGCATCCCTACACACTCACACCCACACACATCACACACACACTCACACCCACACACACTGATCCGCACATCACACACACACTCACACCCACACACATCGCACGCACACACACTCACACCCACACACTCACACTGATCCCCGCATCCCCGCACACTCACGCCCACACAGACACACATCCACGCTCACAGCCCCCGTCCGCCCTGGCCTCTCACGATTCTGGAGAGCGGCGGCATCCGGGAAGCCCAGGAGCCCAGGGTGGCGACGCTCCCCAGCAGGTAGCCGACGGTCTCCGTGTGGTCCTGGGGGAAGAGACACTCTCGCGCCTGCTGGCAGCCGCTTCTTCCCAGGCAGCAAGGCCTGGCCCCTACCCCAGCTCCGGGCATTGCCTGCCCCCCCCCCCGCACCCCACCCCCCGCACCTGCAGCAGGTTTCCCAGCAGCCTCCGCTGCGGCCCTCGGATGGGGGCAGAGGCCGTGGGCGCGGCCGTCCAGAGAGCCCAGCCGGGGCCCAGGCTGAGCGGCAGCACCAGGGCGAAGGCGCTGGTCTGGAGCCGCTGTCCCCTCCTCCTCTCCGGGGAGCCCCCGCCTGCAACAGACCCCAAAGCCCACGTGCTTCCTGGGGGCCGGAGGCTGACCCGGGTGCAGGCCACGTTCCCGCTGCTCTCAGGGCCGGAGCTGCCCCACCTCCAGGCCTGGGTCTCTGGGGATGCACGCCCCGCCCTGCACACACGTGCGGTGTGCGCGGGCACACACACGCACACACGTATGCGCACACATACGCACGCACACACATGCACACACGCGTACATGCACACACATACATACATATGTGCTCACACACAACCTCGTACATGTGCACACACACGTGCACACATACCCTCTCGCATGTGCACACACACACATGCACATACACATGTGCGCGTGCACGCACACACACCGCCATTTTCCCAACACGCACCCCCTCCCTGCTCTGTCCTAGGCGCTCATCATGCTTCTCGTCCCCTGTCCCCGCGCCTGTGTCCCAAGTATCTGGGTGCCTATGGCACGGCCTCCCCCAGACGGCCCCCACCAGGCGGGCTGCGCCCCGACGGACGGCTCCTGCCTCAACACAGAGCCAGCTGTGAGGGAGGCATCACGCGGCTGACGCGTTAGAGCAGCTCCTCAAAGAGTGGGCACACGCCCCTCGAACCGATCCCCCCAGAGCCTCTAGGTCCACACGATGCCCGGAGGGTCGAGGCCGCGGTTCCATCCTGGGGACCACACAGTCCCTGAGCACTGCAGGACCAACCCCCAGGCACTGAGCACAGAGATGGGAGCGGCCGCCAAGCAGTGCCCACTGTGGCCCCCAAACCGAGACCAAACAGAGAGAAACACGCCTCTCCTGAGGGGCCTGTCCCGGCACCCACCAATGCAAGCACGGCCCGCTGGGACGAGAGCCTGAGCCACGGCCGTCCCCCCTCAGGGCTGCCCGTCCCACCGGACCCTCAGCCCCTCACTGCCTCCCCCACACGCCCCCATCGCCACACACTCGCCCTCCCTCCGTCCCCGACTTGGCCCCCGCGGAACTGCCCAGCAGACCGTCCCTTCCCACGCCTCTTGGCCCTGCCGGCCTCCCTCATGACTGAGCTGGGCCCCGGGCGGCCGCACACTCACCTGAGCTGGACGTGGACTCAGAGCCGCAGGTGCGGAAGAGAACGAACATGACGCTGACCAGGCGGATGGCTGCCAGGTAGGCCCCAGTGAAGACCTGGGGAAAGGGGGTGAACGGCCGCCGGCCCCTCTCACCTGCCCCTTCCCTCTCACACCGGAGCTTCCAGAAGCTTCTGTCTACCCACCCCCCAGGCGGCTAGCATCCCCGGCTGACTGCCAAGAAGCCGAGAAGCTGCCCAGAGTGGCGTGGCCAGGGGCAAATGCCAGGCCCTCCTCTGCCCCCACATGTGCTCTCCACCACCCTGCCATGGCTCTGGTCTGCAACCAGGCATGTCATCAAGGCATGTCTCTGGGCCTCGGTTTCCTCCTCTGACAAACAGGGAGGCTAACAGTGCTGGGACAGCCTGCACTGCGGCCGGAGGAGAGCGAGAAGCGTCACTACGGACAGGTAGGGTCTGGCCCGAGTGCGAGTCCAGCCCTGCTCCTGGGTGGAGGGGACGAGGCGTCTGGCCCCTGAGTGGGAGGAAGGTAATGGCGGCATCACTCCAGAGGGGGGTGGAAGCTGAAATGAGTTCAAGGGAAGTTAAAAGAAAGTCCTTCGTGCCGAGTCTGGTTAAACTGATGAGCACCTCTGGAAGGAAACAAGCTGGGGCTCACTCTGGTCCTAAGTGCGGGACAGCCCTCCCCAGGCCCCCAGCCCGTGCACGCGCGCGCGCACACACACACACACACACACACACACACACGGTGACCCGTGTCCAAGAGAGCATGGCTCAAGGCTGGCTCTGGAACGCTCCAGATCTGTCCTGGTCCTCCATCACCCACCCTCCCATCTGCGTGGGTGAGCATCCAGCCAGAGCCAATCCTATGAGATGGCCAGCACTGGGGTCCTGTGGGGACCAGGCTTTCTGAGGGGCTGTATCTGGAGGCAGTCATCCTTTTTCTCAAAGGGGATAGAAAAGCTATTCCAGCAAATAGAGGGCCTTGATTTGGGGGCACTGGAATGGACTTAGTAGCACCACGGAAAAGGAGCCAGGTGCTTTGTAGCAGTTGGGGCTGGGGCCCCGGCTGGAAAACCAAAACCATTTATTGCGCATCTACTATGTGCCAGCTGCTATTTCAGTGTCGGGGGCATATGGTCAGGAACACAGGCTCTGGTCTCTGGGTTCTCCCGTATCAGGAAGCAAAGACCATAATAATAAGGCCAAGTTTGTCTCCGCTGGTGAGCACTGGGAGAAGAGCAAAACAGCTCGGGGGGTGCAGAGCACCCAGGGGAGGAAGTCACTCACGAACAGAATTGAAAGATGTGCGCTCTGGGGGACCCTCCTGCACCGCGTACCTGGATGGGCAGCTGTTTGGCTAGAATCGCCCCGGCGGGGTCACACAGGCTGGCCAGGAGGAAGCACACCGCGCCCAGCGCTGACCGGCCCCGTCCGGCTCTGCGGGGACTCTGGGCACATCGCAGGTAGAGCAGCCTATGGTGGAGGCAAGACACTGGCTGGGCAGGCGGCAGGAAAGTAGTTGAGACTTGTGTGTTCATAAGAGCCCCAGCCCCCCGATATTCAGTGGGTGTTCTTTATGTTCTTTTCATTTTGTTTTGGGGACATGCCTGATTTAGGACTTACTCTTGGCTCTGCACTCAAGCATCACTCCTGGCAGTGCTCAGGGGACCATATGGGATGTCTGGGATCAAACCCGGGTTAGCCGCATGCAAGGCAAGCGCCCTATCCACTGCACTATCTCCCGGACCCCATCAGCGGCTGTTTTTGAACTGAGTTGAAAGGGCGTGTGGGAGTTTGAACTGAGTTGAAAGGGCGTGTGGGAGGAAGGCTCCTGAGAACTCCCCCACAGAGCTCCGTGCAGCAAGCCTGTGGCATGAGCCAGACAGCCCCTGGCTAAAGAAGAGGAACGTCTTTCCGCCTGCTAATCCCCGGTCGGCTCGAATTCACAACCCGCCACTCCCATTCAGTGCTGACAAACCAGCTGTGGGGTTTTATTTTTCGAAAGGAAACAGGAGGGTCGCTAAAAGGAACCCCACCCTGGGACTTAACCCAGGAAAAGGCAACTTTCTCTATGAACTGGAAGGGAAAATCCCTCAGCTCCAGGGGGGCTGGGGAGGGGAGGGGTGGATTCCCATTGGGACGCTGGGATGCGGGTCCCTTTACAGACAGTGAAAGCACCACTCCTAGGAGGTGGCCGCCCTCCCAGCTAAGCGTCACCCCGGTGCCTCTGTCCCCTTACTGTGGCTCCTGCCCCTCACTTGCCTCCGGTCCCTCCCAAACTTAAGGAGGGTCGCAGAGGCCAGGCTGAGCTCGGAGGAGCTGGGGTTCCATCAGCATTTCTGATGGTGTCTGGGGGAACAGTGATGCTTCCCTGCCTCGTGCTCATGGAGAAACTGAGGCACGAACCCACTTCTCATCTCTGGAACCCTTTGTCTGGCTCTGAGTGTGAGCTTTGGGGAACTGGGGGAGTATGGGAGGACAGCGTCCCCCACGCCCCTTGACTGGCCAGAGGCAGCAGTCCAAGGCACACAGTGGGAACATCAGCTTTCCATGATTCGGGGTTCTCGGGCTCTAGAAACTGAGGAATGAAGACTCGGAATTGGAAGCTGGACCCAAACTAGGACGAACCGTGGAGGCAAAAAGTTAGCGCAAAGGTTAAGGTATTTGCCTTAAGAACGCGGTGACTACCCGAGCTCAAATCCCACCCAGGCCCCAGAAAACAGAGCGAGGGTGGCCCCTGAGCACCACCGGATGGGACTCCCCCAAATTAAATAAGAAGAATCTGGTTCAAGCCTCCCCGCCTGAAGTGAGGAGAGACCCCGTGGGATCAGGTGAGGTAAGATCTGCAGCCCTGTCCCTGCTCCCGGGGTGGACGCCACGTGATGCCCTTCACTCAGCCTCGCCCAGCTCCAAGGAGGCTGGAGACATAGCCCCCAGGCTGTGCCACTGAAGTGGGGTGTTCAGGGGGAGGTGCAAGGAAGCTGAGGCAGTGTTCTCAGGGACGCTCCCGCACCCCCTAAGCCTGGGCATCCAACAGCGGCCTCTCTGGGGGGTTATGAGGATAGAGCTAGTCACATCCGTGAAGCTGGGTGTGCGTCTTTGGCCAGACCTCCGCATAGCCTCATTAGCTCACTTTTTAAAAAATTGGTTTTGTTCATGATTGCCACTCAATGCCTCTTTTGCAAACCACAACACCCAAAAGGAGAGAGAGACCAAAAGGGAATGCCCTGCCACAGAGGCAGGGTGGGATGGGGGGCTGGGGGGGGTGGGAAGTGGGATTAGTGGTGGTGGAGAATGGGCACTGGTGGATGGATGGGTACTCAATCCTTGTATAACTGAAACCCAAGCACAAAAATTTGTATGTCTACAACTGTACCTCATGGTGTTTCACTAATAAAAATTAAAAAAAATTGGTTTTGTTTCCAGTCACACCAGGCGGTGGTCAGGGCTTACTCCTGGCATTTAGGAATTACATATGAGGTGCCCTATGGGGTGCTGGGGATTGAACTGAACCTGGGTCAGCCACATGGAAGGCAAGGGCCCTTGCTGCTGTACTACTGCTCGGGCCCCAAGCGCACCCCTTTTGAACAAGTTCTGGAACCTGGATTCTTTGCACTCACACCAGAAATGGCTGGGTGGCTTTTTCTTCCTGCTTAAGTGTGGGGTCTCTGTGACAAGGTCACAGGCCTGAAGGGGGCGACACTGAGAGTCTGCCATGGGCTGTGCACTAACGCTTTCTCCCCTGTTGGGATGCACCACTAAGAGTGGCCCCATCCCTTTCTCCCCTGTTGGGATGCACCACTAAGAGTGGCCCCATCCCTTTCTCCCCTGTTGGGATGCACCACTAAGAGTGGCCCCATCCTTCCAAGCTTGGGCCCGAGTGGTTCATAGCTGGGGGGCTCGTTTCAGTCAGACTCACCCCGAAAAGCCTATTGTGGGTGACCACCTGCCAATCAACTCCCGATGCTGGACAGACTGAAGCAAAGGTCTGGGTCAGCACCAGACCCTCACCACTTGCGCTCTCCCCCACAAAGAGGGCCAGGGGAAACTGAGGCCAGAGACACCCAGATGGAGCTGGAGAGTTCCATACTGAAGGAAGTCAGCCAGAAAAAGAGGGGCAGACCAAACGATCCCTTATATGTGGGATCTGAACGAACACAACCAGGAGTACCAGATGCCCAAAGGTGACAGAAACTGAGAACTGGGTGTGGGGGGGGGGGGAGGGGGGGAGGGAGTGGGCACATGGGTGAAGGAAGGTGTTCTGTGGGAATAGATCAGGGATGAAATCCTTCTAATGCCAGTTTATAAATCATGGTGCCCAAAGTTAAAAAAATTAAAAATGATTTTTTTCTAAGTGAAGCCTCCAGAAACTTTATCCAAGGCCCTTGTCATCTGCCAAGGCTCGGTGGCAGCCCTGGATCAGTGCGCGGGTCATTACTAAGCGCTGGGCTGGAACCAACTCCAGCCCTCCCAGCCCTTCCAGGGGTTTCCTTCCCCCTTCGTGTAAGGAAGCGGAGCGCAGAGGTCTCGCGGCCAGCACTGAGCAAGGAGCCCAGGCGGGGTCAGGCTGACAATAGCCGTCCAGACCAGAACTCCACGGGGCGCCTTCCACTGCGCCACCCGGCCGCCTGCCGCTGGCTCGCAGCCCAGCCTCCCGGGGCCGGGGCTCGGAATCCGGAAAGCGGCGGACTTGGAAAGCGGTTTGGCTCCTGCTGCCAAGGGCCGCGTCCGGGCTCCCGCGGCCCCCTCCCTGGAAGGGTCCGAGAGCGCAGGGCGGGGGTGCGGGCAGCGAGCTCCCCCCAGGCCCCCAGCGCCCGGTTCCCGGTCGCCACCACCCCGCTGTCCCCCCGGGTCCCCCCAGCCTCCCGGGGTCCCCCTTACAGCGCGTGGGTGGCGAGCCAGCAGCAGGAGGAGCAGATCCACAGGCCGAAGGAGATGCAGACGCGGTGGCGCGCGAAGCAGCGGTCCAGGTAGCCCCCGTCCCAGGGCGCGGGCGCCTCCCCCATGGCCCGGCCGCCCCCCACGCCCCTTCCCCGGGATCGGCGGGCCCGGAGCGGGGCGCGCCCGGCCCTGCGCTCCCGGCCGCTGCCGGCCGCGCCGGGGACACCGGGGAAAAGTTTCCGGCCCCGCGCGGCTCGCCCACCCCGCGCGCTATTGTCGGGGGTCGGAGGCGGACTGGACGCCGCCCCCCAGCGGCGGGAGCCGGGAGCAGCCGCGGCACAAAGGCGGCGGCCCGCGGATGCCCGGATAGGGGTCACCGCCCCCCACGCCGCCACTCCGAAACCCGGCGGCCACCGCAGGTCACCGAAGCGCACTCGGAACGCGTGCCAAGCCGCCGCGTTTGCCAAGCCGCGCGTGCCGACGCGCTGGGATGCTGGAGGCCGGGGCGGGGGGTCCCCGGGAGCACTGGCCGAGGCGAGAGGGGTCTGGGCTGCTCGTCCAAAGCGCCGCTGGTGGGCCCAGGAAGGAGGAAACACACGCATTGGGGTGCAAATCCCGCGTCGGCGCGAGCGCCCCCTCTTTTCTCAAAGGCGCTCGGCCTGCACCCCCGTCACCCCGCCCCCCGTCACCCAAGACAGCGACCCAGCAGCCTGGGAGCCCCGCGACCCCCGCAGTCTCACTTTCCGCAGTCTCACTGGTCCGCAGAGCTCTTGGCTTGAACACAAACCCCCGGGGCAGTTTGAGCATTTCTAGTTGGTTTTAGTTTGCTTTCAGGAGGTAACTGTATCTTTTTTTTAAAAATTTTTCTCTAAGGTATGGTGGCAGCGGGGGTGGTGGGTGGGGCTGTCAATCCAAGCCAGAGCCTCGCACATGGGGAACAGACGCTTTTGCACTCAACTACAGCATTTCTTTTCATTGTCTAAAATAGCAGTTCTATGGAGCTGTCATGCTCGCATCATAAACCCGCCTTTTCCAAGTCTGCCTGTCGATGGTTTGAAGTCTGGCTACGCAGCTGCTGTGCCGCCAATATCATGATTTATTTGCTGTGGGGGGTCCCAGCCTGGGTGTGTTGTGCTGGGGTGGGGCGGATTCCTGGATGGAACCCGGGATTCCATAGGCAAGGCATGTGATTTACCACTTAACTCTCCCTTCCCTGCGCCCAGGACCTAATTTTAGAACATTTTTCTCATCTGTCAAAACCTCAGGACTCAGTTGCTCCCCATCTCCCCGCCCCCCAGCAACCACAAATCTTCTGCTCTGTCTCTGGGCATTGGTCTGTTCTGACACACCAAACAAAAGGGATGATCTAGCGGGTGGCCTAATTGTGACAGACGGTCTTACTTAGCGAGTGTGTAAAGTTCGTTTATCCATGCTGCATCACGTGCCATGACTTCATTCCATTTTATGGCTAAATAATTAATTCATTGTATAGACAAACCACATTTTATTTATCCACTCATCAGTGGACAGATGCTGGGTTTTTTTCCCCCCCTTTTGGCTGTTGTGAACAGCACGGCGATAAATACTTGTGCACAAGTTTTGTGTATTTTACCTTCTCTTGGGCATCTAGCTAGGAGTGAACTGCTGGGGCCCTTTGTACCTCTATCTTTGTATTTATTTGTATAGTTGTTTATGATTACATTCAGTATTCCAACACCAATCCTACCACCAGTGCACCTTCCCAACACCATTATTTCCAATTTTCCCAACCACCACTCAAGCCTGCTCCTATAGCAGGCCCTGAATAATTTATTGTATGTTGCTTGTTACAATTTGCTGAAATTGATAAAAAATTTTTCCTTAGAAGAAAGTGTGTGGATATTATTGTATCTCACTATGGAGCCATTAAGCCCTGGGAGAAGAAATTACTAAAATATTGTTACTGGTTAAGTCTTGTGTGCTTCTATTTTCTTAGTGTACCTCTATCTTTGAAGTCTTGAGAAACTGCCAGGCTGTTTTCCAAAGTGACTGTGTTATTTTAGCTATTCATCATTTTTTTTTCTGAAGTTATGACCCCTTATAGGAGAAGTGGAAGTCTCTAGAGGAAGCATTGTGCTGAGGAGTGAGGGGCCACTGTAACGCTGAGTGGAACAGACACGGTCTCTACCTCTGGGGAACTTACAGTCCAATAGGAGAGAACCCCTGAAAGAGCCACTGAGCAAATAAAATTAAAATATAATAGTAAAGTGGGGTGTGAGAGATAATGCAGAGGGTCAAAGCACTTGCTTGCTTGTTGCTGTCTCCAGTTCAATCCCTAGCACTGCATGTGGTCCCCACACCACAGGCGAGATCCCTGAGTCCAGAGCCAGGAGTAAACCCTGAGTACTACCATGTGCAGTGCCTAGGATAGAACTGGATCAACCACACACAAAGCAAGTGCCTTAGCACTTGTACTATCTCTCTGGCCCTGAATATCAATATTGACTCAAAAATCCTTTATTTTTGCGTTTTGGGTCACACCTGGTGATGCTCAGGGGTTACTCCTGGTTCTGCACTCAGGAATCACTCTCCTGGTGGTGCTTGCGGGACCATATGGGATGCTGGGAATTGAACCCAGGTTGGTTGCGTGGAAGGCAAACGCCATACCCACTGGGCTATTGCTCCAGCCCCTCAAAAATCATCCTTTTTAAAATAGTTAACAATGGGGCCAAAGAGGTAGTACAGGGACCCCCCAAGCACCGCAATCCCTTGTCCCCTAAAAAAAAAAGTCAATGTAAAATTCACATAAAACATCATCAGCTTTCCTGTTTCACTTTACACCATTTGCTTCTTTGTCGAAGATTAGAAGCCTAATAGGCTTAGTATTAGGATACACTGAGAAACCTCTTCAACAAATGGTGCTGAGGAAAGTGTTCAGTCACATGTTAAAAAATGAACACAGACCCTTGTCTCACACTATACACAAAAGTAAGCTCAAAATGGATTGGCGATCTCATTATCAGACCTGAATCCACAAGCTATATTGAGAAAACATAGGCAGAACATTTCAAGACATGAGTCTAGAGCTATCTTCAAGGATTCAATGTCACTGACAAAGCAAAGATAAATATATGGGACTGAGAGCACAGTAAGAATCTTCTTCACATAAAAAGATAAGCAGAATAAATACACCCCACAGACAGGGAGAAAGTATTTGCCCACTATTCATCTAATGAGGGGTTAATATTAAGACATATAAAACTTTATTTTTTTTTTTGCTTTTTGGGTCACACCCAGCGATGCACAGGGGTTACTCCTGGTTCATGCACTCAGGAATTACTCCTGGCCATGCTCAGGGAACCATACGGGATGCTGGGAATCAAACCCGGGTCAGGCCGCATGCAAGGGAAATGCTGCTGTGCTATTGCTCCAGCCCCAACATATAAAACATTTGTAAAACTTAGTAAAAAAAAATCAAACAACTCCAACCAAAAATATGGGAAAAGTGATGAACCAAAACTGTATCAAGGAAGAAATACAGATGGACAACAGGTATATGAAAAAATACTAGGCATCACTTGTTAGGAAAATGCAAATTAAAACAATAATATATCATCTCACACCAAACTGGAGCGATAGCACAGCGGGTAGGGCGTTCGCCTTACAAGCGGCCAACATGGCCGACCCGAGTTCGATTCCTCCGCCCCTCTCGGAGAGCCCGGCCAGCTACCGAGAGTATTCGATATGCCAGACACAGTAACAACAAAGTCTCCAAAGGAGACGTTACTGGGCCCGCTCGAGCAAATCGACGATCAACGGGAGGGCCTTTACCTTTACCTTTACCTCACACCAAACTACACACATAAAGGTAAAGGTAAAGGCCCTCCCGTTGATCGTCGATTTGCTCGAGCGGGCCCAGTAACGTCTCCATTGGAGACTTTGTTGTTACTGTGTCTGGCATATCGAGTACTCTCGGTAGCTGGCCGGGCTCTCCGAGAGGGGCGGAGGAATCGAACTCGGGTCGGCCATGTTGGCCGCTTGTAAGGCGAACGCCCTACCGCTGTGCTATCACTCCAGCCCAAACTACACACATAAAGCAAAACAATCAGTGTCAGCGTAGATGCAGGGGGAAAGGAACTCTCACCCACTGCTTCTGGGTATAGTAAGTGGTTCGACCATTTTGAAAATTAACACAACACTTTTCAAAAAGCTAAGACTGAGCTTCCATCTCCCTCAGCAACCCCGCTTCTGAACGTCCAAAAACTACCTAGGGCCCAAAAACTCAATTCCGAAGAAACATCTGCACGTCTGTGTTCATTACAGCATTATTCACAACAGCCAAATCGGGAAACAATCCTCAGGGCCCAAGAACAGATACCTGACTGGGTAAAGAAATTACGGTACGCATGCACAATGGAGTATTAGCTGACCCTTAAGAAAAGGCAAAAAGCATGCAACTTGCGGCTACGTGAATGTATCTGGAGAATAAATATCATGCTGAGCGAAGTTAGTCAGAAGGAGAGGGACAGACTGAATGATTTCTCTTTTATGCGGGATATAAAGAAACCGAGCAAGGGAGTAACAAATGGCCAAAGGCAACAGAACCGAAGACCTGACCCACAGACCGGACTTGACCATGGAGTGGGGCGCAGGGAGAGAAGTTGAACGGGGAGCCCTGGTGGAGGTATGGTGGTGGAAGGCTGTAGCTTGGAACCTACCATGAGCAGTGCTGTCAATTACAGTGCCTAGAGTAAAAAATAAATAAATGAGTGCTCGCTTCGGCAGCACATATACTAAAATTGGAACGATACAGAGAAGATTAGCATGGCCCCTGCGCAAGGATGACACGCAAATTCGTGAAGCGTTCCATATTTTTTGGACTGAACATGTTTGCCACTCAATGCCTCTTTTGCAGACCACAACACCCAAAAGGAGAGAGAGAACACAGGGGATTGCCCTGCCACAGAGACGGGGGGGATGGGGGGATGGGGGTGGGAGGGATATTATCCATGGTGGTGGAAAATGGGCACTGGTGGAGGGATGGGTATCTGATCATTGTATAATTGAAACCAAAGCACAAAAAATTGTAAATCTACAACTTTAAAAAAAATAAAATAAAATAAAGGGAAAAAAAAAATGTCTTGAAAACAAAAAAAAAATAAATAAATAAATAAATGAAACAACACTATTAGCATTTCTTTTTTTAGTACTTTTCCTATTAGCATTTTAATACCGCTCAGTTTTGTTTTAGGAGACAAGTTGTATTAATTATAAAAATAATCAACTCTCTGTCC